GGCGCGTTTCCCGGGAGCCACGGCTGCGCTGGCCCTGCCAGCCGGACCGGGGATCTGCACCCTTCCCGGGGCCCTCCGGCCTGTGCAGGGGCGTGCGACATGGCAAGGGCCCCTGTGCCCAGGGGGACAGCCCTGAGCTGTGGGCGCCGGCTTGTTACGAGCGCCCGGGTGTAAAGCTGGACGGTTTTCCTGTGTTTTGGGATCCTCACAGCTTTACCTGGAAACAGATCGACTCGGTGCTAGCGCAGTGTAACACAAAACGTGCGTACGGGGTTATTTTGGTGTAGCTGTTGTTTGCCAGCAGATGGTCGCTGTCAGGTGTCTTCCGGATCCCCAGACATTTGAGTTGAAATGCCAGCACTGAGCTGCTTTGTGGTTTTCTTCATTTTCGGGTTTCGGTTTGCAGCAAAACTGCAAGAAAGCTCTAAGTGGTTCTCTGGGTTTATGAGTGGAATAAAAGCATTTGGCAGCCTACTTACTTCACCTGAGTGTTTAATCAACCCATTCACCCTTGTCAATGTTGTCGGTTTTCAGTTGGTTGCGACCCTGCCAGAGGAAATTCGTCCTGGGCCTGATTTCCATGGACTTCCATGGGAGCCTATTATTATCACTGCCTTAGTGGGAATTGCCACACTAGCTGTAATTTTCTGGAGAACCTGCCTTTCAGTGAGTACACTTCATGCTTGCAAAACTGCTGATATTTCACTTACCGCGTGGTCTTTTGTGTGGTTAAACTGTTTCAGCGTTACGGGGGTCAAAGCTATACGTTGTCTTCCGTGTGTTTCTGTTCGGAGCATCAATGTGAACAAAATGCTGGGCTTAACAGCCAAAGTGAGTTGTAATTTTCTTGAAGCTAAGAAGCATTTCCTTTAAGCTCTTAATTGAAGACTGTGGGTTTTTTTTTAGTAAGGGGCAGTTTGGAAAGCTAAGTAGGGAAGTGTGGTGTAAATCAAGAAGGCCAGGGAAGCGTCAGCATATCTTTGAAATGAGAAGCCTTCCATGTGCTTGAGCCTGTACCATCTCCAAAACAACCAGTTAATCCTTCCCCCCTTCTTACTGTCCAGCTGCTTGTAGGTGCTGTGTTCAGAAACGTAAACACATGGTCTTAAATCTCACTGGAGAGCCCCTTTCCCAATCTTTTCCTCGCTCTGTAGTTGTCTTCCTCTTTCCTACATGGATAACTTTCTGTGCAAGAAAAACACCTTCACTGGCTCTCCTGTATACCGGTGCATCTCCTTGGGAACGGATAGGTGAAAACCACACAGGACAGTTTAATTTACAGCCGTCTAGTTCAGTGACGGTATGCTGTGGAAGCTGGCAGAATACTACCTCTGCTTGACAAAAACAAATTGAAATACTCTTTGTAACGGTATTGGTAGTTCTTTCCTTGTTTAGCTTTGCTATTGTGTGCACCGGCTCAGTTTCAGATGCAAAACTGTACTGTAACGGCATAAAAAGACAGCCTTCTTTAATGGTGGGAACTTCACAATGAGCACCTGTACCTTGCGTTAAAAGCCTCAGAACTGGGGTGCAGGTGTGGTTTGTGTTTGCAAGTTCATGGCTGTTGTTTGATGCAGAATGGCTTCGTTTTGTTGGCAAGTTGGATGTGGGCAGTTACTGCTGTCCCTTTAGTGACTGACTAAACAGACCTTTGCTGAGGCTCTGGGACGGGGCATTAACCTCGAAGCTTTTATTAGAAAACAGCTTAAGCTTGTTTGTAGTGTTATTCAACACTGTTGGCAGCGGTGGATGTGTTTTCCACATGCTGCTTTAATTCGTGCGTAAGCAGTGACTTCTTTTCTGTAGGAAAAATAAATAAAAGTTTTTGTTCACTGTTTTTTTAATGGCTAATTTATTTTTTTTCCTCTTCTGTAGGTGAAGAGTAGAATATATCAAGGTATGTTTTCTTGTGCTTTTCAGTGTACTTGATGCTTGGGCATGTAAAAGTGTTGGAAGATTGTTGGTATTCCTCATCGCTCCGTCTCAAGGAGACTGCTAAGTCTAAGGTTATGGTGTAAGCTAGGCCAGTAGATGACGCTTGAATCTGAGGATTTCAGTTTTGTTTTTGACAGTGCCTTGACTGGGAGAAACAAGGCAGCTCATACCTGCAACTTAGAGGGCAAGGAAAAGCTCTACTGTGTTCAGCATCAATGTGATCCACTGGTTTATTGGTGTGGTGGTAGCGGGGCAGAGTTTGCTTTGGTTTTCTGACTAGTAGTGGATCTGCTTTTGCTTGTTGCTTCTCACAGAAAGCAGTAGCTAGCTCCTCTTGCCTTTTCGGATTGAGGGGAGCCTGAAACTGCTGTGTGGCTGCAAAGATTCCTTCTAAACATAGACCTAAATATGCAGGTATTCCTGTGGCTAGCGTGTAGGTTTTTAACAAGAGCATTTCTCCAGCTTCAAGTATATCAAATTGAAGTGTACTGAATGGAAAAGAAAGAATTCAGAGTTAATTTAATGCAGAATTGATGAGCTGGAAAAAAAAAATCCCTCTTCGATCTGTAAGGTGATTTTTATACTGCAAACCAATTATTGTTATTGGAGGGGGAAAAACATTGGTATTGATGGTGTAGAAATTATGTAGTGGCCTGCCCTAAAAAAAAAAGAGGAGAATCCTCTTTATAAAAAGAAAATAAAACTCTGCTGTATGATACTGTATAGAAATTACTACAGCTAAGAACAAATTGGTATTCTTCAGACATGGTAAAGGCCATGTTACTAACATCCTCATCCAAAACAGAGGAATATTAACAGTGACAAAAATGCTTTAAAAGATAGATTACGTTTGGAGTCCCACAGCTGAAAATTTATTATCCACCCTTCGTGACAGTAGTAAAACTGGGAGACCAAGCTAATGCAGGGTGGGGTTCCTGCCCCCGTTAAATTGCTGAGCGCTGCGTTGTACCTCAGCAGTCACTTGTTGGCTCTCCTGTCCCGGATCCTCTGGCCCAGAAGCCTTCCTGTGGGAGGGGAAGGAGGAGCGGCAGTTGCCGTTGCACACTCTGGGATGCAGCAGGAACAACCAGTGCTTCCTGTCTGTGCTGCAGGATTTGCTGCCAGGCAAATGGGACTTGCGGTGCTCAAATACGGGGGTGGCTTAGGACTTGACAGCAAATGACAATTAGATGTGTTTTAAATTGACTTGCAGTAAAATGCTGTAGGTATGCTAATGATTTTCATTGAATCCGCAGGGTTGGTTGGCACTTGTTTAGGTTGAGAAGCAAATGCATGCCTGAAGAGCTGTTCCTTGGTCACAGCCCTTTTGAGGCCTGTTAGAAAGTGGTGCAGTTCCTTGAGGCTTGCTGATGCTGTCTGCTAGCTGACACCCTCTTTTCCCCTCCCAGGAGGGCTTGAGGCGCTTTCATCCTACTGATGAAACTGCATGGTTTGCTGACCAGACGTGCAGGAAGATGTGGCGGTTAGGGAAGGTGTTGCATCTCCCCAAGTGTCGCAGCAGTAGTCTGAGACTGCTCTGACACCCTCGCTGCCAGTTCTTCCCTTGAACGTGCCTCTTCGTGTGTAGCCACCCCCTTACTCCGCTTTCCCGTGCGTTCTGTGACCAGCTTCTGTGAAGTGGGCGCAGAAGCGATGTGCCGTGTGTCAGCGTCCAATGCTTTACTGCCTTGTTTTCAGTCCTGCCGTTAAGTGAAAGCTGGAGGTGCTTAGACACCTGCTGAAAGGGCTGGCTGCCAGGCAGCTGGCACTGTCCTGATCTGTGCTTTGGTCACTGCTTGGAAACGTTCTCTGAAGTGGTACTGGTCTTGTTTTTTCCCACGGATCTGAAGTACTGTTACTGTAAGCTTTCTTTTTCTTCCTAGTGACTGAGAAGCAACTTGCTGAAAAGATTAAAAACCTTCTTCAAGAAAAATCGGAAATCTTAGAAAAGATGTCAGTATATGATCAAAAGGTATTGTTCCAGGCTCTCATCCTTGGATTCCTGATTTTCTGTTACTGCTGTAAAGACACAGGCAGTGCCACAGCTATTATATGTTATTTTTCTGTTCTTACTGAGTATGATTCTGCCCCTCTACTCTGCTCTGGTGAGACCCCACCTGGAGTACTGCGTCCAGCTGTGGAGCCCTCAATATCAGAAGGATATTGACCACTGGGAGCGAGTCCAGAGGAGGCCACGAAGATGATCAGAGGGCTGGAGCACCTCTCCTATGACGAAAGGCTGCGAGAACTGGGCTTGTTCAGCCTGGAGAAGAGGAGACTCCGAGGAGACCTCATTGCAGCTTTCCAGTACCTGAAGGGGGCCTACAAGGGTACTGGGAGAGGCCTTTTTACAAGAGCCTGTAGTGATAGGACAAGGGGAAATGGGTATAAATTGAAATCAGGGAGGTTTAGATTAGATGTCAGGAAGAAATTCTTCTCGGAGAGGGTGGTGAGGCACTGGAACAGGTTGCCCAGAGAAGCTGTGGATGCCCCATCCCTGGAAGTGTTCAAGGCCAGGCTGGATGAGACTTTGAGCAACCTGGTCTAGTGGAGGGTGTCCCTGCCCATGGCAGGGGAGTTGGAACTAGATGATCTTTAAGGTCCCTTCCAACCCAAACCATTCTATGATTCTATGATGTTGACCATTTCCTCAGTTCTGTGTGATTGTTCCCGTGCTTAGATAAAGGAAGCACAGGAGTCTGTGAAAGTGGCCCAAGAACAAAAAGACACTCTCTCCGATGAAACTTCAGGGCTGAAGGTAAGAAACAATTCACTCTCGCTGCCCTGAAAGCAAACACATCAATAAAATAACTTGCTTTAGTCGGTCTCTTACTCTGTTTTCTAGGACACAGTCAAAGGACTGGAAGAAGCAAATCGTCAGCTAGACGACAGAGTAAAAAACCTGCACACAATGCTTGAAACGGAGAGAAAAAAGAATGAGAAGAAACAGAACAAGGCAAGAGCAATTGCACTCATGTCAGTGTCTGCAGTATGCCCTAAAAACTGGTCACCACCTGAGGGGTGAACAGGTAGAGCAGACGAGGGGAACTGCCTCAAAAAGAGAACTGAAATGGAACTGTAGGTTCATCTTGGAGGGGGGAAATCTGGTTTGGTATTTGTTTTTTACTGTGGGTTTTTTCTGTTTGTTTTTTTTTTTTTTTTTTGTAAGACCTTGCTGGCACCTGTGTGGTTACGTGCTTTCGCACACGGACGTATTCGAGTCGAGGCTTAGTCTTAATACTTCCTAGCTGGGGTCAGGAAGCTCCTTAACAATACGAGCTGAAGGTTTTGGGTTGACAAGAGATGTTTTCTTGTATGTGGAGGAAGCGTCTGGTTCTGTAGTAAAGTGTGAAGGTCTCTAAGCCGCCCCTAATTCTTGTTGTCCAGTGGCATTTGTTTTCCTTTCTTTCCCCCTTCCTCTTAAAGCCTGTTTTCTCTGTGGTAGCGGTAAGCTCCAACAAGATCTCTGGTCTTGTTGTGACCAAAGGTTGTTGCTAATGGCAGCCGCACGCGTCACTTCCTTTCTAGATGCTGCTGGTACGCAGGGAACGCTCCCAGCTGCCCGTGGGCAGGGTCACGGGGGGAAGTGGATTCTCGCGTGCTGTGTGTGCCTGTTCCTTACCTGGCTGATAACGCAGTGCTGCGCTGCTGCTGCTGCTGCTCTGGTGTCTGTTCTAAGTGGAAATGTGTCAGTGACTTGACTTCCCCTTTTATGGTTCCAAGTTATGCGGGTAAAATAATTGCTCAGGCGAATGAAAAGTGACTGCTCATCTTTTTCTTACATAGATCTCTGAAACACAGAAGTCCTTGGAGAAACTGCAGGAAGCTATCAGCGTGCATTCTGTAGAGCTTTCGGAGGTAAAGCGTTACCTACACCCTCTCAACAAGTTCTTGTACCTGGGATGCAGTAGGAAATGCTGGCTTGTCATTTCACCAGGTAATACATGGCTCTTGCTCCCTTACAGTCTGACTTTGTCTTTTTGTTCCTTTTTTTTTTTTTTTTTAATATATAGGTGCAGATAGCCCTTAATGAAGCTAAACTAAGTGAAGAAAAGGTGAAAGCTGAGCTCCATCATGTACAGGAAGAGAATGCTAGGCTAAAAAAGAGCAAGGAGCAAGTAAGTTATGCCCAGGCCAGGCAGCTTTGTTTCTCTTTTAAAGGAAATACTGGGGCTTTATTCCTAGCTTTCTTGAGTTGAAGTTCAGCGTGTCCTTACCGTGTTGGAATTCCCCATTTCATATTACCAAGGTAAAACGGAACCCCCTTGTGCCTGCCTCCACAGGCTTGTTGTGCAGGTGAGCCGCGTGTCCTTGGTGCGCGGCTTGGGCAGCTCCGGTGATTCCGTTCTTGTCAGCAGCTTCGCAGGAAGTCTGTGCTGGCGGGGTAGTCACTGCGTGGTCGGGGCTCGGGATCAGGGCCGAAGGAAGTCGTGATAAAGAATTGCCAAACAGCAGTTCTGCAGCTAAGGGGAATGGGGAGGGCCTTTAGCCCTAACGTGTCACGACGGCTCTTTTACAAATACCTGTAAATATCTGCCTCGTAGATGGATGGCCTCTTAAGGAACGTGGGTTGATTACCCCTGGACCGCAATTAACTCCTCCTATATTGAAGTATGAGCAGTTCGGCTCTGATGTTGGGATATTATGGGAGAAAATGTCAAATTTGTAAAGTTATCTGATAATAAAAACTGCAGCAAGATTCCCAGCATCCAGTTCTACTAGCAGACTGGTGATGAGTGTGGTAACTGTGAAGTTGACCCTTTATCTGTGAACTGTGGTGATGAGCTCTCACCAGAGCTGGCTGTAGACTAGACTTCAATTACATACAGCCTGTCCGAGAAATGAAACGAGTAATCGTCTTGCCTTGGTGCTTCCAACAGCTGCTGAAAGAAGCTGAAGGTTGGAGCGAGAGGCATACTGAGCTCAGCGAGCAGATCAAACTCTATCAGAAGTCTCAGAAGGACGTAGAGGAAGCCCTTGCCTACAAGGAAAATGAAATCGAAGTAGGTTCTTTGTAAGAAGCTTGCTCTGAATGTGACACATCATAAAATACTTCGAAACATTTCACAGAATGCAGAGCGATTCTCCTTCAGTGAGCCTGTGGTTTCGTTACTAGGTTTTGACGAACTGCATTATGCAGCTGAAGCAGCTCGATGTGGATCCGGCCTCCGAGGCCAAGAAGGATGCCGAAGGGCCCGAGTGGGGCACAGGAGACGACCTGGCCAATGGAGAGTTGCCAGGTAGGGTGATCCTGCCTGCTGCTAGTGTGCTCGATGGCTAGAGCACTGGTGGTATGCTCGTGCCGTGTCCCGCGGGGAACGAGGGTGATCCGCAGGTTGACTGCCAGCTTTAATCCTCAAACACCAAATACTTCCTAACTGAAGGGAGAAACCAGTAAAGAGGACAGTAGTTGCTTTTAGATGACCTTTTAGGTATATCCTAAGTGTAATGACACAGTTTTAAATATTGAGTATAAAAGTTAATTATTAAGAACGTTCCAAAAGCTGAGAATCTCAACTTTGTTGTTAGGCTACGTTTATTTTTAATATGGATTTTTAATGAGTATTGTGCTGATCTCCACACAGATAACCTATCTAGGTAATTGGGTATTTTAAACCCGAAAGGCCAAAATGGACTATTTCAAAACTTCTCGGGCGGTTTGTTATTCCTGGTGCTGCACATGTATTTGCTGCACCTCTGGCTCTGAAGTCCTCTTTCTTTTGTTGTCGTTGTTCTCCCTCTAGCCGTACGGCGTGTGCGGGCTGGAAATCCCCTCTTCCTGATTTTTCTGATGCTATCTCCAGTAACACGTGCTGCATTCCCAGTAATACCCAGTAATAGTAGTGTGGTGGCTAGAAGAAGTGACGAGGAGGAGTCTTTGGGAATGCCTTTTGGAATCAGTCAAACAGTTGTGTTGTACTGGTCGTGGAATTGCTGGCATGCTTTAAAGCACAGGGAGTGTTATTTCTAACAGCTGCAGAGTCGAGGGAATTGGGGTTAAGAAACAGGGGAAACAAGTGTCTCATTCTCTTCTAGATCCTGAGAGCGAGCAGATGAAGACTCAGATCAAGCAGATGATGGATGTCTCCAGGGTAGGCTGCACAAGATGCCTCACAAACGCAGCCACGTTACTGCGGCACCTAAGGTCATAAACCCTCTGCTCCTCTTTTCAGGTGAAAACGATGTTGTCCATCGTTGAAGAAGACAGAAACCTGCTGCAGTCCAAGCTGAGCGATGAAGTGTCAGCCAGACACGAGCTAGAAGGTAGGCTTGGCGAAAGATCGCTTAGGATGAAATGCTGTTTGTGGTGTAAAAAGAAATAGAGGGTTTAGGTGGCATAACAGTCGTCACTGCAGCTTTCTTCAGCTTCCCTACCTACCTACCCTTGTTTCTCTAACAGAGCAGATAAAAAAATTGGAGCACGACTCCTGTTTGCTCCAGTCAGCCAAAGAGCGTCTGGAAAACGAGTGCAAAACGCTGCAGCAGAAGGTGGAGATTCTGGGGGAGCTTTACCAGCAGAAGGAGATGGCGCTCCAGAAGTAAGCCTTCCGTTGCTCTTCCGCACCCCGCGGGTTACATCGTGGGCGCTGAGCGAAGGCCCTTCGCTCGGAAGGGTTGGATAACTTAAGTTGTACTTGGAGTGGAAGGTGGTGGCTACTCTTCCACGGTGCTTGAAGGTGGTGCCCCTTTTTCACTTTTTCCACCTTTCCGGAGATTCTAAAAAGACTGTCGCTTTGCACGCATGAAACTGCCTTCTGCTGTTAAAAACCCAACAGCTTTTGGGCAGGGGGGATGGGTGGCTCGGCCTGCAAATCCTGGGATTGCTCTGTCACACTGTCCAGAAACACCAGGGAGAATTTAGAGGCCATTACGAGTTGTTTTGGTTACTCTGACCTCAGTCTAGTGAGCCTGATGCTTGTAATGTAGACACTTCTGTTTTAGCCTCGAGCTTTCTGCGTTCCCAGAGGGCCAAGTTGGTGGCGCAGGCAGAGATGAATGACCTGCTGGCAGTGAGGAACTGGTGGTGTGTCTGTGTTCGTGCCTCACCGATACGCTCACCGACGTGTCTGTGGTAGCATCTCATTTCTGGGGGGGGAGAGCAGGGGTAGGATTCTGGGATGCTTACTGCCGAGTTATGTGGGAAAGCTGAAACTGGGGTGGAGCAGCAAGGGGAGGTTCCGTGGTTCAAGCGTGTAGGCTGGGGCTGCGCGGGGTTGGAACAAGGTAAGGAATTGGGGCTGTTCAGCACCTCAGTACCGAAACTGCCTGACCTCCGAACTTCAGGGGCAGTAAACACGTAACGGAGAGGTGGAGGATAGCCCAGCCTTCAAGGAAAACTTCCTCGTGACCTCTCTGAAGGATTTCTCTTCCTCCCCAAACTTAGCACCTAAGTGATGCTGCCCGTTACTACGCCTTCATTACAGTGAAGGGCTCCCGCCGTTTTTTTCTGGAAGACTTTCCACACGTAACCAAGGAAATCAATGATGTTGAACTGTCTGTTAGCAACAGTTAACTTACTGCTAGTTTAATGGTTCCAGTTTTGTGGGACGGCGCTTGTAAGTTAGGAGCACGTTATGGACCTCTCAAACACTTCCAGAAGAACGTCAAAAATGAAAAAAAGCTAGTGAACCCCCTGAGATTATAAAAAGATGGGAAATTGGTCACCTAAGGAATTGGAGAATACTTAGAAAAAAGCTTCTTTCCACGTGGTTGAGGACTAGTGAGCGTGTTTGTCACCTGGGCCCCAATTCCCTCTTTTTCACTGCGTGTCCATGTCTTCATTTCCCTTGGTTAGCTGTCGGTTCTGCCTCTTCCCTTGTCTGCAGCTTTGTCAGCTGCTGTAGAACCGGTAAGTAAACCGCAGGATGCCGGGAGATGGACTTTGCAGTTGTTGGAGTCTGACAGAACTCTCCAGCCAGCTCTGCGTCCTTGATTTTCAGGTTTTACAGACAAAGGATCTGTCTGTTGGTTTCAAAAGACAGTATTTCTGTCTGGGTTTTATATCTCTATTCTCTCTGTATTCTCACACATTGTTGTGGATTCTGCTATCGCTGTTAGAAGGCAAATAACTTGATTTTGAGTGGTAATACACGTCGGGTGGTGTAATATATGCTGCCTTCTTTGTTTTCTCCTGTGCAGAAAACTCACTCAGGAAGAGTACGAGCGCCAGGAGAAGGAGCAGAAATTGTCTGCTGCAGATGAAAAAGCCGTGCTGGCCATCGAGGAAGTGAAAGTTTACAAGTAACTTCAGTTTCTGAAGACTCTTGACTTCCTTTCAGCTCTTGAAGACGTTTCATTTAAATCTCGTTTTCCTTTTGTACAGGCAAAGGATCCAAGATATGGAAGAAGAATTGCAAAAAACAGAGAGGTCTTACAAAAACCAGGTGAAGTTCTTGCTGGTTGCAGGGAGTTACCGGAAATGCGCGTAGCTGGGCAAAATAAACTAACTCCCTTCTCTTCTTCCCAGATTGCTGCTCATGAGAAAAAGGCACACGACAATTGGGTAAGAATGTGTCTTTTCTGACGCAAACAGTTTGGATTGGACTCGAGGTTGGGGCAGGTAACGCAGTCGGCAACGTTTTCCCTAACAGCTTATTGCCCGCTCTGCCGAGAGAGCTCTGGCTGAAGAAAAAAGAGAAGCAGCCAACCTGAGGCAGAAGTAAGTGCCGTGCCGACCGCTCCGAGGGCTGCCGGGCGCTCGGGAGGGGAGGGAAGGGGCGCCAACAGCGCAGGGTGCTGGGTTAGCCTGCTGGCTCGGATGGCGCGTGTTGGCGTTACTGGTTAAGCACCAGAACTGCTTCGCGGTAGGTGGGAGTAAGGTTTCTTGGTGAAAGCCCTGACACTTCACAGCGTAGCGCGCCTTGCCACATCGTAACAGGTACAGCTTGCGTGTGGCGGGTGAATGATGAAAAACACCTTTCTTCTTGAAAATTAGATTAATAGAAGTCAACCAAAAAATCGTCATGCTTCAAAGGCCGTTAATTGTAAAGCCAACTCCTGGCAGACCCGATCGCCAGGTCCCACCGCGACGAGGTGAGCGCCACTCTTTCTCCCAAAACTTCAGTCTTGGGGTCAGTAGATCCTAAAATAAATGAGGCCGTGATAAATTGCAGAAAACCAAATGCAGTGTGTTTTTCTTCTCTGGCATAGGGCCCTTAAGCAGGGATGGCTCCTTCGGCCCATCCCCTGTCAGCGGAGGGAATCCGTCACCTACCCAGATGATAGACGTTCCTGCCCGGCCCCTTTCCGCCCCTCGAAGGGAGGGCTCAAGAGGGGAATTCGGTGAGCAGCGGAGCTTCCCTTCTGTCCCAACTCCCTCCGTGCCACAAGCCCAAGAGCGCTAAGGCATGATCTTGGCTCTAGGGATAGGGTTGAGGGTTGATTTAATTGCTCAGTATCGATACAAGGATGAGCCTGTGTCGGCAGTAGCTCAGGCAGGCGTTGACGGGGATCTCTGGGGTTCTTGTCTCCTGTAAGGCACAGTGGTGGATGGCCCCCCTGTTCCGCGAAGGCCGCCCGAGTTACCCGGGAGGATGTCTGTTCCGGGTAAGTGATGTGGCCCCCAGCCAACTGCACCTTACCCGGTTATTCTCTCACTCCGGAAATGTAATTCAAACCCACGTTCCTTACCCCGAGCACAACAAGACCTGCGTTTGTGGCTCTCTTTGCAGACCTCGGGCCTGCTGTGGCATCCCTGATCAGCGGTGGGCCGAGAACCTCCTCCCCTTCCGCAGCGGTGGATGGAGCGGTAAGCTGAAAACCCCCAGCCTTCGGGAAGTGTTTCCGATAAGCGATTCACTGTACTTCCGGCTGCTTCTTTAACTGCACCGTGTTCTCTCTTGTCCGTATCCTGTCACTATCCTTATTTGCTCTCCAAAAAACCCAAAAAGCAACCCTCTCCCCAAGAGGCTGAGGCGCTCTGTGTAACCACTGATTCCCCTCCGTCTGCCGAACCAGCCGCAGTGAGTACTCGGAGGCTGAACGTGGTGTTACCCTGCGCTGGTGGAGAGGAGTAACAGGCTTGGTGTTGGGAACTGCGCAGTAACGGAATGCTCTGCGGCACTAACCAGCTCCCGGGGTTGCTGTCGTGACGGACAATTGCTCTCCGGTTTTTGTGGGGTTGAGGAAGCGAGATTTTTGTTGCTGAGGTCTGCAGGCAAATGCTTGGGATCATCGCTGTACTCGCTCCCAAGAAGCTGACGTACCGGTGCCAAGCAGCACGATTCCGTATGCCGTGCAGGCGGCAGGCCCCTCGCCGAAGGGCTCTCCGCCCAGGACACTTGGACAGGGGTTGAGCGTTTCCTCAGTACAGCTTGAGCTAAAGGAAACTTCAGCTCAGCATGCTCAGCCCAGGTAGCGCAGGCGGTGCTCTGGGTGAAGGGCCAATGATGGCGTGGGATCTTTCCCTCTTTTCTACCTGGTTTGTGTGTTTTGGGGTGGATTTGGCTGTCGTCCCCTTTCCCCCCCCCCCCGGCCGATGGGCGAGCAGCTGTTGTGCCGAGTGTCGGTGCTGCTCCGACGCAGTACCGCGCTGAAGCCTGCCCTGCTCTCGCCCAGGCTAATGCCAGTTCCAAAGGCCCGCCTTCTTTCCCTGGGACACCTCTCATGACCTCCCCGGTGATGGGACCGCCACCTCCGCCCCCCGTGCGCTACGGACCGCCGCCGGCTCCTCTCCGTGGGCACTTAGGGCCTCGACCTCTTCCTGTGCCCCTAGGTACGGTCGCGTTGCCGGGTGCTGAAACTTCGGGGAAGCCGACTGCAGAACCCAGCTCTGCTGTCCGCCAGCACGCAGGTTCCCCACGTTTCTCGGGGGCTGGCCGCCTCCTCCGTACGCGTGGAGTTTCTCGGGCCTCTTTAACCCCACCCTCTAGAGGAGGCGTTTTTCCGTCCGCAGTCTGAAGCGGAAACCAGCAGCCAAGAGTCACTAGAACGTAGCTCACGGCTGGCGGAGTCGGCCTGTGACGGTGACCCGCTGCAGAGCTGCTCCGAAAGATGAGGAAATGAGGAATGAGGCAGGAGCCTTCCCTAAAGCAAGGTTTCCCTGAACTCCGTGTCTTCCTTTCCTTCCAGTTCGTGGTGCTCCCATGCCACCTCCGCCTGCAAGAGATTTCCTACCCGGCCCGCCCTTAGGGATGAGAGATCTGCCTCCCGGCCCGCTGCCGCCACCTCCAGACCTGAGGGCCTATGGCCGTGCGCACCCTCCTTTTCGGCCCCTAGGTCCTCCTGGCCCAAGGGATTATCCTCCAGGCCCGCGGCTCCCCCCGCCTGGCGCGAGGGACTATCCGCCTTCTCCGAGCAGAGACTTGGCTCCGGTGGGCCCCAAAGACTACCCCGCGGGGCCCCCCCCGCCTCCAGGCTCAAAGGACTACGCACAGCCTCCAGCGCCGAAACCCTGACGGCCGCGCCCGGTCAGCAGCTCAACGGGACGGACTCCGCGCACTTCCTGCGGTCAGGATTTTAGGAAACGGCTTTCTGGTGGAAGCCGTCGGTCTCATTTCGGTATATTTCAGCTTTTTGCGGGATTAATTTGTATCCAATCGCTGCAGACGTCTTCTGTGCATTAATGATCACCGTAAGCTCATCCATCCTCTTGGGCTGCAAGAACCTTCTTGTGCTGGACTGGAACCTCCTTGAAATGTGCAATAGGAAGGGAGCACCTGTGGGGCTGGTTTGAGTCCACCGTAGCCTCTGTAACCAGTTGGTGAATGAACTGATTTCGTGAAAAATGTAAATTGAATCATTTCCTGTGGAAATAATTTTTAAGTAAAATGCTATATCCGACCTGCCTTCTCCATCACGTCATTGAGCTGCAGTTACTGTGGGCCGGGGCTTTACAGGAGGACGTGGAGGCGTTTGGTTTTTGGGGTTGGTGGAGTGGTTTTTAAAGGTGTCCGGTCGGAGAGCAGCAGCACAAATGACACTGTATGCAAAGGAAAGTTATAATAAAGGCAAAATTCCTTTTGCTAAACCCTGGAGGCTCTGTTTCGGTGCCACTTTTAGTTCAGTGACCTCACCACGGAGCGCTACAGCCATCACCCGGTTGGAGAACTGCATCATGGCTGCTGCAAGGTCAACAACTGTCACCCTTCCGCTGCGCTAGCCTGGCCTGTTACAGAGTCACTGCATGCTGTGAGGAGTGGGGTACAGCCCTCCTCTGCTCCAGGGCAGTACGGAGCTGGAAAAGCCAGCATGGAGCCGTGTAGTTAGGTTGGAAATAGGGGTGAAGGCTCTGGGCTTGCGGAAATGAAGTTTTGGTTGCTTTCTGCTTTCCAGACGGGCTTGCAGCAAGGTTTGAGAGCCGAGCGCTCGTCTTCTGTGGTATTCACGACGGCCGCAGCCTTGCTGCTACGGAAGCTTGATGTTTCCAGCCTTTTTCACTTCCACCAAAAAGGAGCAGCTGTCCCTGAAGAGGAGCGGGTGTGTGTAAACCCTCAGCGGTGGCTTATACAGGGCACTGGAGAGCGCTAAAAACACACCGGTAGGTGCGTGAGGAAGTCCCTGCGTGTTGGTGTCAGGACAAGTACGTGGCGTTGGGCTTAGCAGGCCCCCTGCCTAGACACTACGGGTTCTCACAAGTGCTCTGTACAAACGCGAGCCTCAGGGAGGGGAAAAAACCCAGGAAAACAACTAGGAGTACTAAAAAACCCCAGACCTACTGAAGGGCCATGGCAGCCTTGCTGCCAGGGTACAAGCAGCTGTTACACTTGCCATCCAGGTGTTATGTTCTCACAGTCCCCATGTGTTAAGCTTTAGGTTTAAGATGCCCTAAAGCATCAACTGCCACACGAGCCTGTGCCGTGGGGAGCAGCTGTCCTTTGGAAGAGCGCACACAATAAACGCCAGGGAGAGAAGCAGCCTTAAAAACGGTATTTCGTACAATCACCGCAGGGTTTGGGCTGGAAGGGCCCTTACAGCCCATCTTGTTCCAACCCCCCTGCCATGGGCAGGGACACCTTCCACTAGACCAGGTTGCTCAAAGCCTCATCCAGCCTGGCCTTGATCTCTTCCAGGGATGGGGCATCCACAGCTTCTCTGGGCAACCTGTGCCAGTGCCTCACCACCCTCTCCAGGAAGAACTTCTTCTTGATATCCAATCTAAACCTCCCTGTTTTCAATTTAAACCCATTACCCCTTGTCCTGTCACTACAGTCCCTTGTAAAAAGTCCCCCCCAGCTTCCTTGTAGCCCCTTCAGGTACTGGGAGGTGCAATAAGGTCTCCCCAGAGCCTTCTCTTCTCCAGGCTGAACAAGCCCAACTCTCTCAGCCTGTCCCCACAGCAGAGGGGCTCCAGCCCTCTGAGCATCTGCGTGGCCTCCTCTGGACTCGCTCCAACTGGTTGATATCCTGATGCTGAGGGCTCCACAGCTGGATGCTATTTCACATGCGACAGCCATGAATTCACGTCAGTTAAACACAAAGCTCGACGTAGGTGTTTAACAAAAACACTGGGGGTTGCAGTTTCCTGTTAACACAGACAGTGATGAGCTGGGGAGGATCAAAGCAGCTGAACCCATGGGTTTGCAATCCACGTGAAAGCCGTCGGTTTGCATCATGGCCAAGGCTGCGTGTCAGAGTCCAGTTCTGTACATTGGGGATCGCTCCTTCTCCAGCAGCAAGCTGCACAGGGGTCAGCGTCTCCTCCCTGCCCACCCCAGCAGGCGTTAGGAGGGGAAGCTGGCTGGAACTTCCCCCCCAGGAGAAGGATGTGCAGGCAGGCCAGGCTCCGAGCCGACAGCAGCGCTGTCACGAGCCGAGCTAGCAGGCTGCTCGCCCTGCAGGGACACGCTGCTGCAGCCCCAGCACAGGGCAGGAAGGCCAGGGCCAGCCTGGGACACCAGCAGGGACTGCAGCCCTCGGGCAAGCTCGGCACAGGCAGCCGGAGACTAGTGCTTGGCTCCAGCCTTTCGCAGAGTCCAAAGAAGGATCATTATTTTCTAACATAGATACCCTCGTCTGGTACCCGGAATGCTGCCTTCAGAAGCACTTCCCTGACTTCTGAGGATGGTGCTTCAGGGTTCAACCCTGCAGCCCCTCAGGTGTGAGACCACTGGGGTATGGTACAGACCCGCCAACAGGAAAACTCAATGGCACCCCCCACCCCAACCCGTAGAGGAAGTGAGGGAGCGCTGCTGACAGCTGCTGGAACACCTATCGTCAGCCCTAGGCAGGCCAGGACAGAGGGAAGGCAAGGAGACGAGGACATTCAAAACCAGCTCTTTCTCCTAATCGACAGGGTAAAGCCAAAGCCGCAGCACACCTGCCCATAGCCAGACAAACGGCACAGGGAAACGCCCCTTCCATTAAAGCGGAACGTAACGCCTCGGGGCTACAGGACGGCACAGAGGGCAGTTGGCCGTACCTCTGCATCCAGACTCTTTATTTCAAACCTCGTGTTCGACGCTGGTTTGGGAGCCGGGTCCCCCATGTGCACAGCAGAGCGCTGGGGCACTACTTCGACAGGCAGGGAGTACCGTGTTCAATACGCGGCGATAGCAAAGGTTCAACTGGGATCTACTCCTCTCCCTTTATTAGGTCGAAAGGTGAACGCAAGGGTGTCATAACAAGCCCGTGTCCTGCAGCTCATTACACACCGAATCAAAAATACAGAAAAGAAAGGATCACCCTATCTACTTCCATAAAAAGGTAATTTTCAGGGTGAGTTTCCAGAGTTGCACAAAAGAGGCAGAAACCCACATACAATCAGTTTCTGTAGAACAGCAGTTTCGCGTGGGTCAGCCTGCCAGCCACATCTGCTTTACCAAAAGCTCCGGAAAACTGACACCGGAACAGTGAGGGGGCCTGTCCTGCGGTCACCCAAGTGGTGCAACGCGCCCCCCCCGCAGGGGTGATGCCCAGGAGAAAGCCTCTCTCCCCTTCCCCATCCACCTTTGCAAATGGCCGTGGGACAAGATGCAGAGAGGTCAGCTCTGTGAGGGGGTGCCGGTGGCTCAAAGGAGCGTGACGTATCCAAGCCCTGGTAGGAGCAGGCCAGGCCAGGCTGTTGGAGCCATCTTTCAGCCTCCTCATCTGCCGCTGTCCTCCCTCCTGGGCCGACCACGCTGAGCGAGCGCGACCCAGCGCCCTCCTCTCCCTCACTTGACATCACCTGCAGTACCTCCAGCTCCTTCCTGCCCCACCTCTCTTTCCCCCAGTCTTCCGCCACCCAGCCCCGCGACAAGAGGACTCCGAAATGCAGATGAGAGGAACTACGACAGCGCAGCGCGTGTAAACGGTTAGTAGGCCTGCCACATCTTTATTGCTACGGGTTTGGCAGAGGGGCGGCCTCCGCCCGCGGGGGGAGTTTGAGGCAAAAGGATAATAACGGTTAAGATAAAAACAAGAACAGCGAAGTTAGGAAAAGCAGTCAACGTATTTCAGGGCTCTCGCAATAACCCGTGCTGGAAGGTACTGAACCAGACCTTGCCCTGGAACGGTGGGCTTGCCTCCGACCCTGAAGCAGTGCCGTGCAGTGGGCGATGGTCCCGTCTGACCTACCGGCACGGCGAGTGGCGTTCCCGCCCCGCGAAGGCTAAGGCTACTACACACAGCTACCGTGACTCGCGGTTCAGTTCACAGACGTCTCGCACCAGGGTCACTCCTTGTGCAGTGTTTGATGGAGGTGAAGGTAAAGTGGTTTCTTGGTCAACAGCTGCAGTTTCTTCCTTTTAAAGTCAGTGGGTTTTTTGTACCTGTAACCACAAGAAAGGGCGTCAGTCCGAGCGCCGGTGGCCGCGTGGGGGGATGGCAGTACTGGAAAGCTTGGCCTCACAGACCTCCCAAACCCATCTGACAAGACTTACTGCAAGCAACAACAAATTCACAGGAAGAAACTCAAACCGGTATTTTCTCTGGATTATTGTTTTACCAAAACAAAGATTTCAATTTTTAAATGAGTGTCAGGTTTTTGTAAGGAGAATTCCCAATACAATACTCTGGATTGTAGGAGATGCGGTACTCAGTACTCCAGAAATACTCCAGCTAACACAGACTCAGCCCTCAGAACTGCAATGTTCTCTCTCTTCCCCCAAAAAGTAACCCTCAAAAACCTCACTCAGACCGTCAGCCAGGCAGGAAGGGGAGGGAGGATGCCCACCCGGACCCCCGCAGCGTAACCGGCCAATCTGCTCCTCAGGATACTGAGAGCAGGGGAAAGACATAACCACCCAACAAGGCTTCGTCATGTGTGTAAAATCCGGCTGCCAATTAGCATCCCATGTCACAATGCAGATTTCCTTTGCAGGAGAGATCGCGTGAGTTGACCTTTTGAAGTCCAGCTGATGTGCCACTCAAGCTAGGGGCAAAGTGAACATCTCCCTTGCAGGATCTGTTAGCTTCTTGCAACACTGAACTACAAACACCAGCGTTTTATTTGGAAATGGTCTCGTTTTTGAGAAGG